TAAAAAAAGCTCAATCATGTACTGATTATAAGGTGCAGTAAGGCATGCTTTAAAAATTCTTACACCAATAGGAACACAGCTTACACAAAACTACTAAATTTAAATTGTAATATTGGATCGCTATTGGAATATTTTCAAAATTCATGATCTCAAAGTAAAGTTTACAGAACGTTTAGTAATTTTTCATATATAGACGTAGTGTTCAGTATACTGCAGTACAGTACCAAAATATTGAAATTTTTGTTAATTTTTAGTGACTCGTTTTCTTTATTTATACAGGGTGAGTTTTTTAGCTTTCTAGCTTGAGCTAGGTGGCTATTCCTATCACCGTTTTTTGGACATTTTTTTAAAGAATAAAATTTTTGATCCGAGATAACAGCTCGACTGTTTTGTTCAAATTCTGGATCTGTATATTACGCATTCGGAAACTAAAAACAACGGACCGTAAAGGCCACGAACTTTATTTTTCTAAGTGCAAAGCAAAATTTCTAGTAAACTATTCGAAAGACCTTTTGTTCTGTGTACAACCAACAAACATTATGGTTTTCTTGTTGAATTTTTGTTCATCTTTGTCTATTGATTTCTTTTTTTTTATTATTTTAATGCCACAAGGCATCATATAATTAATAATTGTAATTCCTAATTAGAATTACTTTAGTTTTGCCAGGTTTTGGACATTGACATTTTTTTCTTAGTTTATTTGTAATGAAACCTGGCACAATTGTAAGTTATACACAGAAAGATAAGGTCTTTCCAATAGGTACCTTAATAAAATGTTGGTTGTTTTTTGAAAAAAAAAGTTCGATGCCCATACGCGCGACATTTTTTTTTTAATCTAACCCGTTATTTTTCGTTTCCTTACCGAATCCGTCGAGCCGTTACCTCGGACAATTGCCAACGTACACACGTACAGACAGACGGAAAAAATTTTAATGTAAAACGTCGACATTTGATGAAATTTTGATCCAAAAAAACGGTGATCGCCATAGCTACCTAGCTCATGCTAAGAAGCTAAAAACTAATCATTTACTTAGTAGAACGTTACAATGTATTTCTTATAGCAATAATGCCATAGCTTGCTTAAAATTATTTAACATTTTGACCATGAGAAATACATTTTAAACTTCAATGCAAACCGTTTAATTTCCGAATGAAATACCAAGCATTTGGTATCTTCGATTTTGTAATTTTTTCTTTATCTAGGTATTGTAAAAATCCCATATGGTGTCCATAAGGAATACGAAAGTTGATGTGATTGACTTGAAACCAACAAGTCATAAAAATTTGGTTTTAGCATCGTCAGAAAGCTCAGGAAAAATCACTAAAAGTTTGTTAAAATTATTTTTTGATATCTTTGAGTATAAATTTTGGTTTTTTGGCCATAACTAAGTACGCTCTATTTGTAAAGCTACAAGAGACTTTGAAGGGAAAATTAATCAGCATAAATTCTGCCCTCGCATTAAGAAGCTTGTGCTATAGAAAATTACCGCCCAGAATTCATTTCCATCCATTCTCATTGGAATCCAACTACCCTTTTTTGAGTTCCCGTCTACTTCTATGACAAGGACCCGGTGTTCTTCACAAAATCAACACCAACAGAGGAATTCAGAAGATAATTTCTGTGGATTCTTTTGGATTGTAGGAAAATTTCTTAATCTAAAGGAAAATGTCCGTTCAGAAACCCTCGATCTCGTCTTTGGAATAAGTGCTATAGATAATAAATCTCTGGGACTGCAGAATAATTATTGCTATCTACTTATTCTAGAGCTCTTTCCCGTCTCTGAAAATTTGCCTTCAAGAAACATTCCTTCTCCAAAAATACCAAATGAGCTATAGCAAGAGATCCATCTGCGGAAGATGCGTTCTCAAGGAAAATTCGGCCCTCCCTCCTCCCAACAAAAAACTTCTACGCTAGGCGATTGTTTCAAGGAAATCTTGACTATAAACGATTAACTTTAGGACTAGTGCTCCTTGGCATATTTCCGAGGTACTACATTTTCTAGTTCTGTGCAAAATTTGTCTCGGTCGCCAAGGAAACTAGGCACTCTAGGTGCTAGATGTCGTCCTAAAAGAAAATTTATCCCACCGGAACTTTCGTGCCCAGAAAAGCTCGATCCCAGAAAAATTGCTTTTAAACAGAGTAATCCATACTCAATTATGTAGAGCCAATGTTGATGGAAAATTCGCCGAAATGTTCACTCACGATGTAGCTCTATCAAGTTATCATCCCCGCAATTAAAAAAATTGTGAAATGATAATTTTTAAATAGTGCTAGTGTTATGCTAAATTGTGCTGATCCAATTTTAATTTGTGGTAATCTGGAATCTTCGAGCTGAATCACGGCGGTCAATTTAACTCTCAACTCCCCGCTTTTTTTAAGGTACAAATTCCACTACTACGCAAACGGCGGTCGGTCACCGGAGAATAGTCTAAAACAGAATTACGGCAAACGAAAATCCTATCCATTTTCCAAAGCGGGAACGGAAGTAAAAACAATTAATTAACCAATTAACTGTACGGTAAAGGGGGTTTGCACATCTAATTAGCGACCGGTGATTATGGTTACGTAATTGACCGGGTTAAAATATTTGATACACGGAACGGAAATCGCAAAAATATTAACTTTTTCTCGTCAGCTTTCGGATGCTGCAAAAACAATTTAAATTTCTCCATGGGAACGGTTACAAAACTCTTTTTTTTACTATCGGCGGTTGAAAGTGGTGTTACCAATTCTTTATTGTCGCCTCCTGGAATATAAATAATTAGGTCTAGTAGTTACGGTTTTTATTAGTGAAGCACCCGTTCGATTCCATTGATATACCGCGCGCTCATTAAATCTGGTAGAATCCATGTACAAAACAAGTCCTTCGTTATAAAGTACTTCGATTACTTTGAGGAGTGTTTCGATTACTTTCACTCCGTTCTTCGACCACTACTTCGAGTAAAATGTACACCTCCTTTTGGTTCGCCCCAATAAACTCTCTCAGAATATTCGGGTCAAAGAAAATTTCCGTCTGGAAAACACGCCAATCACGTCAGAAAAGACTCATCCCCAAGGAGAATTTGTGCAACTGCAGTATTCGTGGGCCTCACGTGAAGGAATATTCGTCCACAAGGGAGGGTGCCATCAGATAGGTACTCAATTATAAATTTCTATTTCTATGGTAACACTAGTTAATTACAACTCAATCTAAAAATGAGTTAAAATTTCCTTGAGAACGTGATCGTTTTTTTACGAGGGGAAAACTACTGAGGAATTCCGGTTACAACTTCTTGAAATTTATGGAACTCTTATGGAAGTCGCAGAATTCTTTTGGAATTCTTTAAGCCTTTTCACAAGTTATAGTTCAGGTTGTAGCTTACTTTATTGTGATTTTTATATAATTACCTGGAATTCAATCAACATTTTTGAAGGGAGTATTTTTATAGCTCGGAATGACTGTGTGTTTTGCACGGGATTACATTCATCTCATCCGTCATAGGATGCGAGACGCTATGTGGAATGGTTACCTTTTTTAAAGTGCATTTGAACGGAAATATCATATAAAAATCGTCATGTTTTTTGAATTGGCCATTCATTGGAATTCTTTTCGCAAGTTGCAGAGAATTCAGTGGCATTCTTTGGAATTTTTTGGAATTCAATGAAATTATTTTCTAATGATGGAATTTTTTTGAAAATCTGGAGTTCTTTTACGCTTTTGAAATTCTGGCCTATACATTTTTGCTCAGTGGTTTACCCCTCGGTTTTTTATTGATTTGGCGCTTTTATTAAAACGGGTTCATTTTCATGGGGAAACATTTCAACCTACACACGTTTCAACTATCGTAGATCTACCTATTTTGTCAAAAATGGTACAGTAATGCATAATGTAGATTGAGACAGCTATGTATTCTTTTTTATACCTATGTGTAAATTATTTGGGATTTTTGACTAAGAGGGTGACCATTATGTACAAATTCCGCACAATTTCGCTTTGTAGCTACAGCTAACGAAACGAAGAACACTTAAAACTAATGTTAAAATATGTACCCTTTCGAGGACAAAGGTTCAACGCATCGCAGTAAAAAAATGCAAGGTTTCGGCGTTGGTTACAAATACTTACGTAATTTGTTTATTATGTGGTTTTTGTTTTTTAAGTATATCGCATATTTATTTAAACCTTGCAATATTTTTAAATACAGATACAAAGGATATCAACCAACGACGCCATCTTGTACATAAATACCTGGAAGCAAATTGTTTAAAAACTGGACAGCTGTATTGAATGTTGTTAACACATTAATATATGTCTATAAAAACATGCATATGTTAAAAACATTACAAATTTGCATGAACTAAACAAAAAACAGTAATTACGTCGTGGCGGATTTACAAAAGCGAACAATAGGGCAAAGATCACAAAATTTACCTGGCTCCAAAGCTTGATAACCGCGCACCTCCATTTTCAAATTTATTAAAACGTTATGGTAGCCGCTCAACATCCGGGTTTATTAATATTATTAGAATAACGAGCAGGTATTCTAACAAGAATCACTTCGTTATGTGATCTTGCAATAATAATTACATATCAAAATCTGGAGATCTGTAGATAATTCTGCTATTTTCGAACGGGCTAGTTATAGTAATGTACATAACAGTTTTCTCGAAATCGCCTTTTTTCAATTTTCATATAGAGCTTTTGTTTAATATCAATGTGTGCGAGATAACAGGAGTCGTCATATTTACCAATGTGAAAGGCAGCACCAGGAAAAGTACTCAGGTAAAGTCTTACTGTAACCGAAACTAAAATAGATTTCATGACTTCGGGGAAAAAGCATTTTAATCCTGATTTTAAAAGGAAAAATCCGCTGCATTCACTTTCTTTGAAAATGATAATGGAAATTTCGATTTAGACGATAAGCGAAAGTGAAAGTGCTTTGAAATTAGTCAAATGTCGATAAGCTTTCTTGTATACCTACGTTTCTGCTTATTATATATCGAAAAAAGAAGCAAAACTATATATAAAAAATGTAAATTGTATTTTTTCAGTACAAAATCTTATACTAATAATATACAAAAATAGAAAAGTACCAATAAGACTTAAATCTAATATATAAAAATGAGGAATAAAACACTGGCTTTGGTCACCGATAAGTACATATAATTTCTCTTACCGGTATAATAAACTACTGTATATCAAATGGCAATTTTCGTACTAACAATTAAAATATAGGTAACACAATTTTCGTACCCCATTAATAATGCACAGTTTTAAAGGCACCTTAGTTCCGAAATCTTCTTCTTAAACTATCAAACTTAAGGAAGTACTAACGATAGTATGTAACTTCGAAAAATGAATACAAATTAGTATCACTTTCTCGAACACAGAAATATATACAAAATTGAAGCGTATTATTCTTTACAATGAACAATTTGTACAACATATTTACAAACAATGACTAGATAACAATGATAAAATTTTTATGAAAAGCCTTAATTGAGATTCAACAATATCACTGCTTGGAATGAACGAAGGCACTGGGATCAGGAATGATGAGTAACGATCTTTGATTTGATGATCGGTCTCGACTCTGTAACAATAAAAAAATATCTCTATAATTTCATTCGAATATTATGACATAAAGGTACACTACAAACTATATAATTGCGAAAAGCAGGTAACCGAACGAGTTTCCTAATCGAAATTAAATCTCATCAGCTCCCATCGATGTAATTACAGTGTGAGATTTCGTTACCCGATCCGATTTACAAAAATTAATATGAAAATCTCTGCCCTTGACACTTTTCGTGCTTGGGATAGGGCAACTGAGTTTGATTGTGTATTACGCGCGTCTGGCGCCAAGATCACCAATAAGCAAAATAACCGTGAGAAATTTCTACCTGGCCTAATTTCAATTTCGTCAATCCCTCCAAAGGGTCCGATGCATAATTAAGTCGAGTATCAACTAAAATTGATGACCGCGTATAATCGACTCGGCGTGATTTAAATGCACGCTAAAGAGGATCAATTGATTATGTCAAGCCTACGCCTGATGCCACCTACTGAACTTACCTACCTCAACGGCACAAGAAATAAATTATACCAGGCGAAATTGTCGTGGAAGCTGCGTACCTGCGTGGATCCACACACGCATCCTCAAATAATATAAATCAAAAAGGTAAGCAACGGAATTCAAAAGTAGAAAAGATCGTGTCGTTTTTCTATTTCGCAGACTGTATTGTTTAGGGCTGCTGGGTAAATGAACTTGCCTTGAGACATATTTCTTTTATGATTATTCCGTTTCTTAAGAACCAGTTCGCAAGATCCCTCGGTCTTATAATACTTAAAGGTGCGACACAAAAACTCCAGCGGACCTAACAAAATATAAGCTGAATAGGAAATCACGGCAAAAGGAAATCCAGAGGGGGAAAGAGGGATTATAACCACATCGCCAGGTAAAGCGACGCCGGCAAGGGCGGCCTATCCAGGTATCAAGGTTTATAAGTAGTGATTAGATATGCTCGCATACAGAGTAGACGTTGTTTGATGCCGGAAAATCATCCTTATCTTGAATAATCAACGTTATTATTATACGAAATTACGGTGAGGCACTTGGGGGCACTGAATGTTTTGACTGAAACTGAGAATTTATAACTAAAACCACATGCTCCCAATTAACACTCTAAGTTTCCGGGTTCCACGCACGTGTTGCAAAACAAACAGCCCTTCCACATTCCCACAATTTCACTGAAAACTGCAAATGCGTTTTCAGGTAAAGGATATCCGGGCGCACAACGCGAGGGACAAAAAAAACAACCCCCATCATTAGGCAAGAATCTGAAATTGCGCTTTGATTAATAACACATTCTCGATGAGAGTGAAACCATTTCAAATATGTAACCGATTAGATGAATCTCGGTAGGTTCGACCCATTATAATTAAAACAGAATTCCCAAATATTTAATTAAAAAATATTACGTAAAACCAGTTTGTCGACGTTTTCTACAAATTTCCAATTTTCGTTCCATTAATCTTAATAAAAGAGAACAGTACTTATCGTCCTAGTGCAAACAATTTGGGACGGTACCTTTTATACCTGGTGAACCTCCCCATTGAAAGCTGAAGTGCGTTTTTTTTACCCTCGCGTTTAGAAATTTACGCATCATGAGATAAAAAATTAAAGGTTTTTTGGTACTTACCATGAGTTTTGTTGCCAGGAGAAGATGGCGTCTAATAACTCATCGTCCTCGGGACTGTGGGGGTCGTAATTGTCGTAACCATACCGTTTGTACACTGCCGCGGATGTAAATACAGGAGTTGAGGAGCCTTCTGATGTGTGCGACGGTGTAGGTGAAGAGGACGATTCGGAAGCTGGCGGTGTAGGTAAAATTAGGGGGTAATTTGTGAATTGCTGTGAAATTGTGTCGGGACTATTTGTGTAAAATCGGTTATCACTAACATTATTGTCACTAATACTTTTTGATGACAGTTCGGCTTCGTGATCCTCCAGCATTTGCTGTAGGCTTCTGATGTATTCTACCGCCATTTTCAGCGTTTCAACTTTGCTAAGTTTCTTGTTGGCGCCTCTTCCGGTGCTGGTATTCCCGCTTGGTGGTGCGAACGCCGCGAGTACGTTCGAGGGGATGTGCTGCCTAAGGGCTGCAAAACCATTGTTGACTTGTTTTACGCGGTTTCTCTCTCGGGCGTTTCTGCGGGCAACGGAAGCGGGTTGAATTGTTTGGCCAGAGTGAGGTACGAATTGAATTTTTCGCTTGCAGCGGATATCGGAATTATTGGCAATTAAGACGGTGTTCCTTTCCGGTGCCGGCGCCAAAGCTCGCTTTCCTTGTATGACCGAATTTGGGGCAGACTGGCCAAATCCGGCGGTGGTGACGATGACACAATTTGCTTGAATCGCGTTGTACATTTTTTCTTGTTGATTTAACGTCATATTGTTGACACCTTGAACGGCTGCCATGTGCATGTCTTCGCGTTTCGCGCACAACTAAATGCCTACAAACACCAGCAGCAGATAAAAGACGCGTGGTTTCTAGTAAAATCTTCGTATGAGAGTCGCAGCTGCTTAAAGTTAACACAACCAGATGGAGATCAAGACCCGGAATGATACCTGGCATAACGTTACCTAGGTCTTTGTAGTGGCGTTTAAGCCCATCCCCTCTACCGACATGAGGGTTGCTGCGAGTGCTTCCGAGGGTCCAAGCGCGTGCCATCGACTCGCGGCGCATGGCCAAGCAAGCCGACAACTATAACACCCGTCCAGAAGCTGCAAGCTGGACCCGCAAATCTCAAGTTCACAAACCCGTATTTGTTACTTTACGTAATAAAAAACCGCATCCGAATTGACAGCGCGAACTTTTAGCCATAATTCGCCGTTCAGGACGAAATTGCAACAATTATTTTTTTGCCAACTTCCGTTGGCCGTTGCGGCGAAACGAACGTGTATGAAAACATCAATTATAATCAAGTCTGCGCAAAAACAGCGCAGCAAAACAAGGTGAAAATTACTGTGCATTTCGATAATTACAGCGCAACTTTCCCATGCAACCCCTTCATCGCGCGACCGTGCGCTCGTATCGAAAGTGATCCATTTGTCTATTTCGTAGACGTCCAGCCACAGGGAATTTAATTAAAATTACTGCCCAGATTCAATTAAAAAATCTGGTTCACCAAGTTGACACCTTTCCTCCACGGCGCTTTCGGACACTGAAATGAAATTAATACGCAAACAGTAAATTATGTTTGACTAGCATATAAGTAATTACGATAATTTAAGCGTTGGAAAGTAAACATTCCTTGAAACTAAAAAATAAATCAACGGGCCAGATTAAATCAACGATATCATTTAAGCGTCAGATACATGGTTTTAATGCAAAACAGATACATCAATTATTGAAACTAATTTAGAATATAGACGTTCATTTATCATCGTAAGTAGACGTTTAAAATATGAACTACTTATTAAACAGAAGACTCGAAAATTGCTCGAAGAGAGGGCGAAAGTGTGCGGTTACGTGAAAAGGAAGACGGAATGTTGTACCTAAACGACCCCTTTATGTAGGTAATAGGTTTATTAGCTATTCGGTAACGCCATGCCATAAACCCGCATGTCCGTCTGTCGAAAGTGAAGGTAAAGTCCCATTATGCAATGACAAGTTCTATTGATTTCCCTGCGTTCTAAATATTAAAGGATAAGTTGAAGGATTTCAAAATCATCCCCCACTCTTGAGGGTCCGAATTCAAATAGTTTCGTTGAGAATTACCTAACGCAAAATAATAACAACCCAGGTTCGGCAATTGCAAAACGTTTTTACAGATACGAAACTGTATTCAGACCTTCGTTGTCCTCGGATTAATTTTTATTTTAAATGGGATCTTAATACAGACCCTTATTACAGAGGGATTTAAAACATTTCAGCTACCTGGCACACTCCCAATTTTATCAAGCAATACGTTACGAAAAATTTCGTTATTTTGAATTTCCTTTTCATTTATACGACTATACTTAGACTCCATTTCACAGATATTCATTTCAATACTTTATCCTAATTTTTCGTACCGTATTCTTTCGAAAAAGATAAGGACGTTTGGTAACCTACCCCTACAATGTAAATAAAAGTGCTTTCGCCAATACGCGTGCGTGCGATTGTATGATATACGTTATTCCATCAACGCACGGATCGATTTGGAGAAAATTTTAGCTTGAAAATCGACGTACATTTAAAAAGACCCACCTTTTAGATTCAAAGGCCTTTTTCGATATGCTAAGTGTTTCAGCAAGGACTAAGCAAACTATTGTTATATTGTATAAAAGTAACACGGAAATACCGTGTGCCTTCATACCGATTTAGGGTTATTTTGCCGAAAGATTTAATACTTACTAATAAATCAAAAATAGTTGGGTGTTTGAGGGGATCAATAGATATAACATTTTTCCCAAATAATCATACGTTTCTTCTTCAGGAACCATAACAGAAAAGGATGGATCTTGTGGCAAGATTCTGGTCCACTCCTAACTCCTAAGCGGAATGGCAAAGAAAATTCGACAATTTCGCGAGATCCGGAGATTTTTCACTTATAATTGCACAAGAGGTTTGTATTTTACCGAGTAAATTTGGGTTGTTTAGGTAATGAAAATCTGTTGCCTAGCAATTAGACGAGAAAAACTGTCAACTAATAAAAATGCGACACCGCAGGTGGAGCATTTTTAGGTTGACAGTTTTTCGAGTCCAATTGCTAAAAGGAAACAGATTTGAATTGCCACAACCCAAATTTATTCGGTTTAAATACAAACCTCGAGTGTAATTCGGCAGGACAATTTAACGAACAAGAAATTCACCAAACTAATCAATTATTGACAGACGTCAAACTAGTCATATGGGTAAGGATAATGCGATTATTGGTTCGAAAATGAATAAGTGAAAAAACCACTAGTGCATTTGTCGCTGGAAAAGTTGCAGGTAACTTTTGCCGCTGTCAAAGTGACAATTACACTGCGGCTTATGTGATTTTTTATACATGAGTTGAATTGTCAATATAAAAATAACATTTCAAAATTAGTTTTTAAAAATTCAAAAAATATGTAATCTCGGTTGCAATCCTTGGTCGGTCCAGAAAAAATGGTCAGTTGAATCACTATTCGAACACAATTATATGCTAGTCTCGCCTCAAAGTGCGTCACGCACCTAAACATTTCTGCGTTGTATTTAAAATTGTTTTTCAGATTTTGGTAAACTTGGTCATGCTCGAAAAGGTACCCAGATTCGTTTTTTTCGTTAAGACCAGAATCTTTTTTCGCACCCTTTTGGAGTGGGGCTCATGCTCAAAGGCATCCAGATTCAAACTTTCGTTATAACCAGAACCTTTTTTTGTACCCCTTTGGCTTTTGAAAAAAATGTCCAAAATCAAAAATGGCATATCCAAAAGCTACGTTAATTCCATCCTTTTGATTTTGATTTAAAGAAACGAAAATTTCCGAACTGTTATTTATTTTTGGTCCTATCTACCACCTAATTAGTTAATACTTAATTGTCACATCCAGTAAGTTTCCGGTGAATGGTGGAAAATTGTGGCTCTTATTTTTTTAAATCTGTCCTTCAGTGGATTTATATAAAACCATTTTTAATTGAAAAACTGCAGAAAAATGGTCGCTTGGGGTTAAATTTCGCATGAAAAATACCAAAATTAAAGAAGAAAGAAAAGCACGACGTATCAATTTATGTAAAGTTTTTGTTATTAGAATAATAGTTTTTTTAATTCGATTTGACGTTTATGACCTGTTTTTAATCGTGCCGTTCAATGTACCTGACGTATAGCTATGTATTCTGTAACGGTTTCGTTGCGGTCATAAATTGCACAATTTTTGACATTCTGTTTCTTAATAACATTTTTCTCTTACATCCTACGGCAGAAGCAATCTAAGTATATACTTTTTTGTACTTATTTTCATTAAATTTTCAAAAATTTTGAGTATCAATGTTTGTCAATTCGTTACCGTGATATGGCGCTACGCCAACAAAAAATCTTTTGTTAGTCTAAAGAGGGTTGGCGACTAAATTCTACACGATAACTGGTATTCTACCGAAAAGAAAGGAGACGAACAGGAAGAAAGACATCGAATTGTGGCAGCAGGAAATATAATCTTGGAGGACATCCGCTGCAGAGTGTTCAACACAGTTGAGTATCCTCCGATGGACAGCTTCTTGGATGGTGCGCGTGCTGTGGTTCCAAAAACGCTGCTTCTTCTACTTCACGTTTTGATTTTGACCCTTGGACTCCTCCCTCTGGCTCATGCAATCATATGCTAGCAGTGCGCCCCAAATCTTCTCCATCATTACTGCTGATTCTGCATTGGAATGGTTTTAAAAAGTTTGGCACCAGTGGTGAAAAGTACGGATGGGGATGGGAGGGGGTTGAAAGAGTTTTAACACAATTTACGCTACCAACAGTTTTGGAAAAATCTTCGCGCCTACATTCTGACACATACTGCTTTGACAGGTGAAATTTTTGAACGCACTGTCTTAACTGAACTTGATAGCGCTACACCAAGTGCTCAATCTTCCGGATAGATTCATCATCTTGAGGGGAGCAGAAGTCAACCTTGGCAACAAAAAATAGTACAAGTACAAGTACAAGTATCTATAAGTTAATCTCCATTGAAACAAATGCATTCGAGTAGTATTGTAGGGCCGATTCTAATTCAAAAAATCACTAAATGCAAAAAAAAAGTCACTAGAAAAGTATGTAGGTTTGAAACTCATCTAGGGACCCAGTAATATAATGGCCGACTCTCAAAAGTCACTAGATATGTGAAAAGTCCCTAGAAAAGTATCTGGATTTGAAACTCTGCTAGGTCGCATAGAGTCGATTCAAGAAGTGACTAGATCGAAATTTACTAGAAAAGTTAGGTTTGAAACTCTGCTGCGTGGGTTCGGATCTTTGATTTCGCGCATTATCTAGAAACAAATAAACTTGTAGTGATGCAGAGGTTGATGTAATAGGAATCAAGCATTGTATTTAAAAACATTTTAAAGGGTAGCATATCAGCCAGCATACTATCAGCTCCCAGCTCGATTGCCTTGCCTTGCGAGCCTGCTTGCGACTGATGTCCCCTTTATCTCGTTTTTCCTTAAGGGAATAGACATAATTGGGAGCTATTAGCCTAAATTTGAATTATTTCCAAATTTTTTGGACGACTTTCGGGCTTCTTCCCTCATATTATGCTCTATAATCGCATGTTTATAAAAGAAAAACGACTGAAAAGTTATTTTCAGGACCCCTTACATTAGCAAGAGCTTGATTTGTTTGAACCATGAACTGTTTTAGTGATCACGAACAAATTGTAACAGGAGCTTTTTAATGGGGGTTGATTTTTCATTTTCTTTGTTGAGGGTTGATTTAGATTAGATAATAATGAATATACAGGGTGGCTGAGGCAGAGAATCTTAGTAAATTTGGATTTGGAACTAGTTTCTATTTTAAGTTTAGCGATAGTTTAGTACTATAGCATGTTGCCCTTTTTGTAAGTTTAGGAAATCGTGGGCTCCAGCGGTGATTGCAATTTTTTATCTTAATTAGTTATGGGTTTCCAAACCGGAAAATCGAGATTAGATCATTG